TGTATAGTGTTGTATAGTGTTGTATAGTGCTGTATAGTGTTGTATAGTGTTGTATAGTCTTGAATAGTGTAGTATAGCTATGTACAATAGTGTATATTTATGTGTATGGTACACTATAGTACCGATTACATGACGTTTACTATATTGGTGCGCGAAACATGGAATGATAACCTATTTTTGGCTAACACGACACGCACGCAATAGAATTCTCACTTATAGTTTTGGTGCTACCCATCTAATGACGTCACAAAATTCGTTGACCTTCGAAGGTCATTTTTTCCAAGATGGCGGCGACACACAAAGTTTGCATGCATTTTACTCCTAGAGTAAAATGTTCGAGAAGGAAATGATAATATTTTCATAGTTAGGTTGTCAAGTAGGATTGAAATAGCCAATAAAAATTTTCGTTGCCAATGTCCTTTAATAGCTTGACACTGGATAGTATTGGTAATCCCAATCTATATAAATTTTTTTAGGGAAGTGGTTTTACAACAACGCCTAAAGCTCCTCTCCGTCCAAACGAGTTGTTTTACAATAGACTGACGCCTTTGTTGAAAGAAAAGGTAAAGCTCATTTGCATAGAACTTTATATAGCAGTAGTGCCATCCAATGATCGGAATGTCCCATTGTTTTTTCATTGTCTTGAAAATCTTACTGTTCTCCATGTCATCCAGTCATGATCCAGTGATCGGAATGTTCCATTGTTTTTTCATTGTCTTGAAAATCCCACTGTTCTCCATGTCATCCAGTCATGATCCAGTGATCAGAATGTTCCATTGTCTTTTCATTGTTTTCAAAATCTTACTGTTCTCCATGCCATCCAGTCACTCATTGTTTTGACTTTATTAATCATTTTGCAAATAGATGGCCTATGAAGTTAATTTGTAATAGATCTTGACAGACAGTCGAATAGAACAATATTTGTTCTTTATAGAATATTGATGTGAGCAGCAGTAACCGGAAAGATTGGCCAATAGCGATCATGAGGAAAGTTATGCAAGAACTTTTACATGAAACACCGCAAGATCTTTTAGAGAAGTAAGTACGGTGATATGACTCCCATTTAGAGGGAGTCTGCTCAATGTAAACATACCTTATAATATCTGTCTTTGAGCACCACTACAGTCAGTACTCCAAGAATCTTACGATTATTTTTTCTCAGAGAGCTGTGGTGTTCAAGTACGTGTACCTCAGACTGGTGGAAAATGAGTCAAACCTATTCAAGATCTGTGGCAGTCATGTCTATTATTGGATATATACTGGGTCTGGGAGATAGACATCTGGATAATATGTTGATTGATTTCACTACAGGCGAGGTATGGTGTACTACGATACTTTGCAAATAAGATCTCGAACGGTCAGTGTATCGGTATAGCGACGATAACAAGACCGTTATGGATTGAGAGGGATACAGCTACCTGACAGCTCTTTGCAAACAAACTGTTGTTCCTAGATGTAATTATAATTATTATATGTCCTAATGTTTATGTATATAATATGTATATTCTTGTAATACCTATAAGTAATTATGTAATGTAAGTTTTTGGTGAGACTTAATTAGGGACTCACGTCCTGTTGTCCTTACCATCAGTCATTTGATTGTAAAGTTAATATAACATTTCCCACAAGGTGATGTGCTGCTTGACATAGAAGATCGAATTTCACAAAACTATATATATTAATTGGAATTTTATTTTGAGGGAGTTCTCTCCCCTTGTGGCGAAATTTGTAAATTAATTTGTTGTTGTTGCTTACGATTTTTTTAGTTTTTGTGCTGGCCTCAATAACATATGAGAGCAATGCCTCCATCTTTAGTCTTTGCTCTGGCCAAAAGTAAATTATTTTCTTCGTGTAGTAGCACTGGAGGCATTAAAGGTGGCCCTTAGTGGACCTTTAGGGAGAACTGCTTAATTAGAACTGATAGAGATAGCCAAGTCTGTTTTTGGTTACTTTTTTAAGGCAAGCATTTCAAATCGTCCATACAGTAATACCTTTTTTTTTCTTGCAGATTGTCCATATTGACTACAACATTTGCTTTGAGAAGGGCAGGGGTTTACGTGTCCCAGAGAAAGTTCCCTTCAGACTGACTGCTAACTTGGAAACCGCTCTGGGGGTGACAGGAGTTGAGGTGCGTGTATTTGTATAATATTTTATACACACAAAATGAAAGATCTATGAGGCCCTGTTAGGGGGGGGTCTGAATAATCCATAATCCTAGCAAAAATTGAAAAATAATCCGTATCCCATTTCTATAAACAAAAATATCCCTTTAATAATTTAAAGAAATGTGAACAGTCAAATTATTCCACGCGAAATCAAGTGACACTCGAGTTCATGCGTGTGATTCATGCATGTCACATACACACGTAAAAACGCAAACGCACAAGTTGTAACAAACCTGCAGCAGACTTGTAGCAATGCTGTTCCAACAACTTGTCAACAGAATGTGTTCGCACTGCTTGTTCCCAGCTTGTTGACAAGTTGTCAACGACTTGTGACAACTTGCTACAAGGTTGTTGAGCTCAACAGACTGGGAGCATGTAATCATGAAATGAGACCGACCCACCACTGAAATGTGAATCCAGACCTCTCTTGGTGAGTTGGTGTGTTGCAATAAAATTGAGTAAAAAGCATGGAAATTGATGGCATTTATTAGGAATTGTGCAAGAACACGTACAGTTTGCTGTGAAACGTTATATTTTTATTAAGTGTCCGGGCTTAGTCAGGTTTGACCACAGATTAGCGATTTCGTCAAGATCGATCGTGTCTGTTAGATCGCGCTCACATGCAAAGAGTCAAGAGTTCACCAAGGCGTTCCTGGTTCATTACTGAATGCATAACAGTTTCCAATGATTTCAGCTTTGAAAAGCTGCGCTCGGCTGATGCGGATGTTACAGGAACTGTCAGGCACGTAACTATAGGATTTTTGATTGACCGAGACACTTCAAGATTTTTGATTGGCCAAGACACTTTTGATTTTCTAAGGCTTAGAAACGCTATTTCCTGCATTCTGGGAGCTGTTCAAACAAAATATTAATTTCATAAACAGTGACACAATGACTATAATTTTATACTGTAGTTTGCCCCCAGTCCTGAGGCTAAGATCGAACATCATTGATCAGGTGCATAGTAAAAAAGTGTTTGTGCTCAATTGTTTTAATATTTGGGCGCTTGCCCGTACTTTTGTTATTGGGGTACTTGTGTACCCACACAGCCTCCCATTTCTTACGTCACTGTAGGGCAAGAATAATGCTTCTTAACATAGAGAGAACTACAGTCTGTCATTGAACTTGAACTCGATTGACTCATTTACCTAGTTATGGACCTGACTGTAAGCAACAATTGGAAACATCACCTAGTCAGTGGAAACAATGTTTCGCTCCGGGATTCCAGATAAACCAGTGCGTCGTTCACTGATCGAATTTCTTGATTGCAGTAGGCACATAAAACTCTTTGGTAACAAAATGCATATCGTGTTACATGTGAACATACTTCCTAATATAACTCGGCTAGAAATTCGTTTTTTCTTGTGAGATTTTTACGTGTGTACATGTTTGCGCGAAGATCGCGTGTGTTCCATCTCAAATGTGCGAAATGGTCAATAATTAAAAATTTTCAGCACCTTTTAATGGTGTCTCTAGTATAATGAAGGTATTGATATTGATTGGCATCTTATATGACCTCTTACAAACTGCAAATTGTACCTCTTATTTTTATTTTCAATAGCAAAAATAGATGATCTTTGCATATCAATAATCCTAAAATCCTATCCAAATAATCCATAATCTTTTTTTTCAACCAGCAATAATCCGTAATCCTACCCAAAAATCCCAAATAATCCGTAATCCTAAAACCCTAACAGGGCCTCTTTAGGTAAATCCCATGCCTATAAGTATTTTTCCTTTGTTAGAATTTATATACGACTTTGGAACACCATTTTACATTTGTTTATTTATAATGTAAACAAACCCAAACGTTTTGTTTACATTTTTGAACTACTATATTTGTAAAATATGATAATATACTAACTGAATATCTAACACTTTTCTGGTTCACTATGCATGTAAATGCATATAAACTCTGCGTTTCAATTCAAAAAAGTTCGAAAGATGCAAAATTTGGGCAATGTTTATATCATTCTGCAGATCACCCTTTGTTATGAGCAGAACTGATGCGCAGAACGGACTTTTACAGCATTTTAATAAAGAAAGTATTTTATCATGTTTGGTGATTTTAAATTATCATTTAATATTACATATTTGAAACATAACAAGACATAAATTTACCTAGCAAGAAATAAAAATATCATGTACTTTTCGTTAGGCAGTTGCGATATATCGATATTTTCGATAAATATCGATATTTCAAAAATATTGATGTTCGATATTCG